TATGTTTCCTGGGATGCCTGTTTCTTAGCATCAAATGACGAAAGAGACGGTAGTGTCCATTTTGGTCCTAACCGGTCATAGTAAATTCCGAGATTTTGGATAGCCTGTGTTTTGGACATGGGCACTTTTATCACTAAGCACTAATTCCGCCGCACTTTCATTAAGTCAGCGACCCGTTTTTTCGTTGGTTGCGATCAGTAATTCTACATATAATGGAAGGGACGTACGCAGAACAGAGTACTCAAAGTACTCGTCGCATTACACAATGGAACAGAACTTACAGCCTATGTACTCAGCCGAACGTAGTTCGTTCTCACTCAACGGCATTAAATGTACGGCTTTAGGCCATTGCACGAAAGTATTGCAAACCGTATTTCGTCGTCTTTAAATGTCTTGGTTAGAACAATACATTAATCAGATAACCTAACTGCACATCTGAACCCGAGGGTAATATAAAACACTCTGCAAGAAAATCGCTTTCATGAAAAGCCTTTTAGCGAATATAACGAAAAACGCCCTCCAAAATCTGATGTGTGGATAGCTGAGAGTATCCGGGGAAGGAATTTTTACATCGACTTTTAAACGCTGCTGTCGCGCGCACTCCCCCAACCGCCAAAACAAGACTATTTTTAACGAGATTTCCGCTTCTTCATCTCCTATGTGTGGATAGACTGCCTTTTCAAACCTCTACGTTTGCTAGACTGGACTTCTTATATAATAACAAAGAAATGGTTACTGAGAACGTTTCAATAATAAAATGTTGTCATTTATGTAGAAGGGTTACCACTGCACAAATATACACCAAGTAGTCCGTCGGGTGTACCTGTGCTCAAAGTTCGTGATTTTATTGTTCCGTGGCTCCCACAAAGTATTTCTAAAATTCATAAAGCTCTGCTCAACGCCACAAACAATCTGTCTTACCGTTGGTCAAGAACACTGTATTCAGAACACTCCAAACAGGCATCTCTCACTGCCAGAATCATTGTCATACTGATTCTCTGGGGATGAAGTCACGGCCTATTTCATTTAGGATTAACGTCGATACGGCTGTTCTCTGTCGAGTTTCCATTGAAGGCTGCTTTCACAAATTCGTCCCTTCCCTAAAAACTGGTGACACATTGTCTGCTCAGGGACTATTAACACGCATCTTTCCCACGCCACCCGCATGACGAGGTCAGCGTTTTATGATCATTGGGACAAGTGAGGGAATAGGGTGACAAAGGCTGTTAGTCGGGTACGAGAAATGCACACGCCTGTCATCAGGAGGTTGGGCCAGCGTGCAGTAACCATCTGGAGTCATCGTCGGCCACGGAAGAAAGAGCGCCTATCTCAACGTCTTCTGACAACTTAGCCCTATATTCGCTTGCCGTGTATACACTGCATCGGCTGTCGCTAGCATCCGTTGCGAAGGCACCTGAAATGCTTATTAGTGTCCGATAGAAAACCCGAAAGGCTTCTTTGGCATTGACTTAGTTATTCGCATCGATGTGTGCGAGAGTAGCTCTTGAAATCGACTTTTTTCAACTTCTGTCTAACCAGGCCGGTATGTGTTCACGTACACGTTTTCCTAGACGTCTTGTTGTACGGCCGATGTATCCAACTTCACCACAGCAAGGGAACGGGTAAATACACATCGATGTGGCCTGCAACGGTAGTCGGTCATTACCTGTCAGGCGTAGGAGGATCGGGTTCGTGGAACATGCGAGTGAATTCGCCACGGGGAAAACACTAGTGAGTGCGTCTTCAGACGTCGTCTTACTAGGTCGCTTGTTGTTTGTTAGATTCTAGCCGTAACGCTTAGTTGGTGACACAGGTTACAAGTCTACAAAAGCCAATCGTCAAAAGCGAACTCAAAAGCAAGGGCTCAAGTCCACGCCTCTATCGGTGTTCCTGACGGAAAAATCGGATGATAAAAGGTAGATACAGGATGAAATTAAGCCCATCAGATCATGCCGTTGATCTGTTAACATGTGGACTTGTCTGCTCTGCTGACTCATCTGAGTCATCACCGGCCTGTAGCTGACGCGATCTCAACGCGACCACATCGTGCGGGCGGTTTGATAGGAAAGCCTGTCTGCGCGTCTTTGGAGCGAAATGAGAATGCGTCTAATAGGACAGCCGCTCCTCCCACCCCCCCTTTGAGTTGCGAGGTACGACATGAGCAGGGGACTCACTTTCAGTCGAACCGCTGGCGTTGGTTTTCAGCTCGATTGTCCAAGCGGTTGATGAGACCGCCCCTACATCGGAACCCTGGGCTCCTGCTTTGGTTTTGGCCGATTGAATGCGTCAATTAGTACGTCAGGTAGCAGATTTATGTCTGAATTTTGCATTTCGGTCCATTCGGTATGCTTCAGCTGATTGGCGTAACCCACCCAAATGTCTGGTTCGACCAAAACCTCATAGACAAAATTACCAAAATTTCGGTGGACAGGTCCGAGCGTCCACTTCTCCTGTCTGTTCCTGTACTCTTTTACAAGCCCCTACTCACCCAGATGGAAAGATGGTTGCCTTGTTCGGTGGCGGGGTTTGAATTGCCTTTACATCGAAAATGAGCAGACTGTTTCACAACCGACATCCGGTTGTCCGCTAATAGATGGTGTAGGACGAATGACGTAAAATGGAGTGCAAAGTTTCCCCTGTAGTAGAGACGCTGTTTGGGGAATTCGGGTTTGGTGTTACCTGACAGTTACTCAAAAGTGTTTCGAGAATTTCGCATCCCCTTTTGATTTCTGGATAGCCCCTTTGATCCTGTCCACAAAACCTTCAACCCGCCTACTGGACTTCGAATGAAATGGCCGCGAACGTATATGATTAATGCCTGACAGTCGGCAGAAGCGGATGAAGGCGGGTGATGTGAACTGTCCCCCCATTATCGCTCATCAACATCTCGGGACAACCAAGTCTGCTCAACAATCGTCAAAGAGTGTTGAGTGTGACACCGGCTGTTGTATTTTCCATGTATTTTCAACATGGTCTTCGCTTCTTCAACGGTCTGTTAACACCCTCGTGACCACTTCAATTTGGTACTTTTATTGATTAGCTTATTCATAAGATAAAGACGGCGATGCGTTTCCTGTGAGGATGATCTGTAATGACTTATGATACCCAAGAAAGAGCGTACGAAGGTTAAATGCTTTGGTGGAAGTGTAAGAGACAAACCCACTAGTTGGGCACAGCGTGTAGGCTATCCAGGAAACGAAAATAGCAGTATCCCAACAGTTACAAACTATTAATTAAGAACAAAGTCGTCTGCAGGTAAAAGTGCACGTGCGTGTTCTTTGTCTTATTCAAAGTTGTGTCAAAGCGCATTGTAACTGATTAAAACAAAACAGACTTAAATGTCACTCTAATACTCCCCCTCCTAGTAGAACGGAGTTCAAAAAAATTATTGTTAATTGAAGGAAAATGTGGGAGTGTTATGCATGTTGTACAAGTTGGTAACGGTCGGGAAAACGGACATGACGACCGCTGCGCGTAAGGGGAGGAGTCTGTGGGATAAGGGAAGACGCGGGGTTATTGGGCGTTAATGGAGTCTGGGAAATAGCAAGTGGCAATGTGCCAAGTGTAGGTTGTTCGATTGCAGAAGTTGGAAGAGGCTCGGTATAAGCCGCCTTCAAGCGATCGATTGAGACCACGTCGCTGCGGCCTCCACGGTCAATTGTAAAGCGCTTGTCCTTGCGCGATAGTACTCGAAATGGGCCGTCATAGGGCTGTTGTAGTGGCCGGCGAACGCTATCTACGCGGACAAATACAAAAGAACATGTTAGTAAGTTCGGGTCGACGTACGACTTACTTGTTGAAGGACGTGGAGGAGTGGCTCGAAGATGAGTCATGGTTTGGTGCAATCTTTGCACATAATCGCTGGGATCCAAGTCGGCTGAGCTTTGATAGTACCCGAAAAAATCACCTGGAATCCGTAGGGTAGTACCGTAGACAAGTTCGGCAGCGGAACACTCCAAGTCGGGCTTGAGTGCGGTACGGATACCGAGCATGACCAAAGGCAGATGCTCCCTCAATCGGAAGGGTTGTCATGAGCTCGGAGCGAGGCTTTGATTTGCCGGTGGAAACGCTCGACTAAACCGTTGGATGAGGGGTGGTATGCTGTCGTGCGTATGAGAGAACATCCGAGGAGGTTGGTAAGGCTGTTAAAAAGTCTAGACTCGAATTGTTGACCTCGATCGGTGGTAATTGTCGAGAGGACGCCAGTGTTCCAAAAAAGCATGAGCAACGGAATCTGCAGTTATGTTAGGTATGGGAGTTGCAATGGGCCAACGAGTAAATCGGTCAATCGCAGTAAGTAAGTAGTTGCAACCACGAGATGTTGGAAAGGGACCTACCAGATCGATATGGACATGTGAAAAACGTGCGTCGGGTGCGAGAAAAGTGCCAATGGGGGCTTTGTTGTGCCGTCCGACTTTGGCCTTCTGACAGGCCAAACATGAACGGGTCCACTGGCGGATATCAGTGTTCTAGCTTGGCCAAACGAACCGCTCACTGACGAGGCGCTGGGTAGTGCGGATGCCAGGGTAAACTAGAGTGTGCAACGCGGCAAAAATATCTCGTCTCATCTCGCTTGGCACTACGGGTCGGGAGGCACCGCGCGATACGTCACACAAGATTGTACCGAGGGTGGTGGAAAGAGGAATGGCTTCGAGTTGAAGACTAGTGTGTTGAAGGCTCTCACTGAGAGTCGGCTGATTTTGCAGTTCTGCCATGCGCTCCAAATCGATGGAGGGGCGGGTGATGGCATTAATGCCAGGCCGAGAAAGACAGTCAGCGACTTGATTATAAAGGCCTTTAAGAAATCGTATGTCGGTGGTATACTGAGAAATAAAATCGAGATGGCGGGCCTCGCGGGGTGAATACTTGTCAGAAGAAGTAGAGAGGGCATAATTAAGAGGCTTGTGGTCAGTATAAATACAAAAATCTCGGCCCTCAATATAATTACGAAAATGCTTAATGGCTAAATAAATTGCTAGAAGTTCTCTACCAAAAGTGCTTTAGCGAGTTTGTGGGGGTGTAAATTTGGCAGAGAAGAAAGCCAAGGGCCGGGTGCCAGTGGGCGTCTGTTGCTGAAGGGCAGCACCTATAGCGAAATTGGAGGAGTCGGCCACAATGGAAAGTGGGGCATCAGGTTTAGAGTGAACAAGGACAGTTGTATCCGCAAGAGCCTTCCTCGCGCGATTGAAAGCCTCTACAGCTGTGTCAGGAAAAGAAAACTCACGGTTGTTCCCGCGTAAAAGGTTAGTAAGTGGTAGCATTAATTGAGCATAATGAGGGATGAGACGTCGATAGAAATTGACAAGGCCTATAAAACGGCGCAGTTGTTGAAAAGAAGTGGGAGTAGGGAAATCGCGAATAGCTGAAACTTTGGCAACTATGGGATGACAACCAGAAGCATCTACGCGATGTCCTAAGAAAAACAGCGGCTGTGCGCCAAAAACGCATTTAGAAACATTAATGAAAACGTTAAATTGGCTCAATCGTTCAAAAATGAGACGCAAATGTTGTAGGTGCTCGTTTTCACTGGAACTTGCTACCAGAACATCGTCGACGTAGACAAAAACGAACGGTAGATCTCGGAGGGCTTCGTTGATGAAACGTTGAAAAGTTTGGGCGGAGTTGCGTAGCCCAAAAGGCATCCTGACAAACTCGAACAGATCGAACGGTGTTGTAATCGCCGTTTTGGGAACGTCTTCTGGAGCAACGGGTATCTGATGGAAAGCTTTGACTAAGTCAATGTTGGAAAATATTATTGCTTCAGCTAGGCTAGATGAAAAGTCGTGGAGATGGGGAAGTGGATACCTGTCAGGCACAGTGGAGGTGTTTACCCGTCGGTAATCCCCGCATGGGCGCCAGTCAACGAGACTTTTTGCACACCATATGTAGAGGTGCAGCCCATGGACTAGTGGAAGGCCTAACTATGCCTAGCTCCATCATGTGGCTGGCTTCAGCCTTGGCTATGGCTAACTTATCGGCGGCTAAACTATGGGGACGGCTAAACATGGGCGGTCCAGTAGTTGAAATATAATGTACAACAGAATGCATGATAGGTTGATTAAATTGTGCAGGTCATGTGATAGATGGAAATTCCGAAAGTAAACGATGATAGGGAGTAGACGAGGGGATTGTTGAAATGTGGTGATTAGATGATGAAAGGGTACGAGTGGAACAATTACGATGTAAAGAAGTCTTAGGATCAAATAATTTATGGGACTTGATGTCAACGAGGAAACAGAAAAAGGATATAAAATCAGCGCCGAGAATGACAGTATGGACATTAATGATAGTAAATAGCCAACGAAATGAACGTCTTAGACCCAAATCTAGCGTTAGCGATCGTTGACCAAAAGTTTTAATGGAAGTCTTGTTAGCTGCTTGGAGAAAAATGAAGAGTTTGGTGACTTACGGTCAGTCAAGGTGGGTGGGATTAGACCGATCTCCGCACCAGTATCCACGAGAAAATTATGACAGGAAGTTCTGTCACAGACGTGGAGTAAGCCACTGGGAGAGGATGAGCCGACAACGTTCGTCACCTTTACTAGTCGGCAGGGACGTTTTCCAACGCAGGTGCCTTGTACTTGCACGGAGAGTGGCAGCGATGGGCGTTAGAACCATAATTGTGATGATACCAACAGAAACCATCAACTGTAGGTTGGTTTGGAGTGGGAGATCTCGGGCGGCGAGTAATTGCAGGACTACTAGGGTTATAGAAACGAGTGGCTCGGAGCTGGGAAACTTCGAGAGTGAGGGCATCCATGCGTTTGATGACATCCTCGATTGCTGTACTCGAGCATACGGTCAGCAGTCTCCGCGAGCATCTGAACAGTCGATGAAGGAATGTTAGGGGCAAGGATGGCTTGCACAGAAGGAGGTAACCGTTGGAGGAAAAGTTGCTTGAACATGGTGGCATCCAGCTTTTGTCCGTCTGCCAACTGCTCTAAACGCCTAAGAAGATCCGTAGGCTTCCTGACACCGAGGTCCTCCTTAGAAATTAAACGTTGCAGGCGTTTTTGGGTTGAGAGGAAAATGCGGGAAATGAGAGCCTCCTTTAGGGCAGTATAAGGGGCTCCTGTGGGCGGACAACTTATGATGTCGCGGAGGTCGGTGGCGATGTCCATTGGGAGTGTTGCCACAACATAGTGAAATTTCGTATCCTCTCGCGTAATTTGACGGAAGGGCGAAACGGAATTCTAGAGTGCGCAGCCACAACGCGATGTCACTGAGCCACACGGATGGCAGGTCAAAGGTGTGAATGCCGGCTATCGGCTGGCTGGTAGAATCTTTGAACATAATTAGTTGAGGTCGGTCAGAGGTCAGATAAATGGGCTAGTTGACTGGCGCGTTGACAGTGAGATTGAAGGGTAGCGCTCGTATTGGATGAATGGGTGAGACAGCGTGCATAGCAAATTAGGGCTAGATGAATAATCTGATCGATAAAAATTAGAGTGAGGTTTAATCCGAATGGAAATAGTGATGTACAGAAATTAAACGGAAGGAGCTATGAACGATACAGGATCACCAGTGTAAGAGACAAACCCACTAGTTGGGCACAGCGAGTAGGCTATCCAGGAAACGAAAATAGCAGTATCCCAACAGTTACCAACCAGTAAATAAGAACAAAGTCGTCAGCAGGTAAAAGTGCACGTGCGTGTTCTTTGTCTTATTACAAGTTGTGTCAAAGCGTATTGTAACTGATTAAAACAAAACAGACTTAAATGTCACTACAGAAGCATCGACTTGATGGCATCAATGATGGCTGGGTGTGGGGGATGGCCGTCTCGGTCGATTATGAACTCGAGGTATTTCATAGAAGGCATGAAAGAATTACACTTGTCCAGGCGAAAGCCTATCAACAATTCATCTGGATTCGATGCATTGACGATGATATCATCCAGATATGCCGCGGCTCCTTCTGTGCCGGTTTGGGTAGTGCACAAATTTATTGCAGTTTAGGAAACGAGATCGCACAGATTTGCTAATCTGACTTTTGAGAATCGATAAAACTCTCTATTTTCTAAAAAGAACCCTCTGTGTCAGCAGACTTATTCCCACGGCTAGCATCGGACATTCAATTTTAAGCGCATTAAGTCCTGTTTGGCAGAACTGTCGAGGGTAAATTACTCTCTTCTGAAAAAAACAAATGCTCAGATGTGCAATCTACGTCTAGCACAGGTACTATCATTGGGAATTGGACGAGCATATCACAACGTGCATTTTCACTCAAATTCATGAACATTTTGCATGATAAAATTGCTAAGACAACTTTTCTGCATAAGAAAAGGACATTTACTGCATTATGCTGGACAGGCGGGCGAAATGTGCAACCGGTAAGGCGTGCGGAAATTATCATATCACATTCTGCGAACAAGTTTCATGAGTTAGGATTCACGCTGTGGCTGTCGCCTCGGGCAAGACTGTGAACAGCTTTCGCGGGTTGAATTATAGCAATGACAATGCTGCAAGTAAGTTGAGATCCTTCCAGAATAGTGAGGGCTGCCTTTATTGCCTTTGGTAATGTTAGGTGGCTTCGTTCAAACACTGAGGCTGTTCTGAGGGCCCTTTTAGTCCCACATTTGCTACATCTACAGAGTACATGCTACAACTTGTTAGCCTTACCTGAAGGCAAAACCGTCCGTGTGTTGCCGCATTACTCGCAACCGCATTGGCACGCGGCATCGACACATTACCCGCGAGGCCAGCAGTCCCTTAACTTTCGTATACAACACAAGGATAGACGACAGAATCACATCCTGGATTTTGCCAAATTTCGTTGGTTGTCTGATTCACGGAGCTACCTTCCTCGGCTTTCTTGCAGTCCGCGGTCTAAAGGAGGACACAACATACGCCGATAACTTAGAAAACCATGCCGCTTGTCCTGTTTCACTCATTTTTTGGACACCACTACGGTTACCAGTTACGTCGTCTTCTTTTTATTACGCCAAATCGTTAGTTGAACGGCCATATAAACGCCTCTTTTGTAATTCTCTGATTTGCTCACACTAAAGTTCGAAATAAGATGATCCTTTCCGTTTATTCTGCCTTTGCTTTTGGTTGTCATTTGGGCAGTTCGGATATCTGTTTGGAGTGCCTACACACCCAAAAACATGAGCCAGCCAATCCCTGGAGGCCGTGGCTTTTTCTTTAGCGTGCTGTCAGCATGGTCGTGGCGCCTCGCTATTGGCTGCCGCCTCAAGCCTGACTGATTCGTGTATGCGTGTAATCGATCTGCTCGTCTAGAATTTTCTTTTTGAAGTGCACTAAGCCGAATGCAGGCGAACGCCAATACGATGTTATATATAACATTAAAAAATTAATTTAGCAAACACATGTTTTCGACAACTCTTCATCAGGCCAAAATGTTACATAAAAATTGAAAATATGCGAAGTTCACAGAGGTTTTAAGTGACTCAGGAGCTATTAACCCTGAACGAGCCCATGTCCCCCGCATGGCGAGGTCGGTGTGATATGGTCATTGGGGCAAGGGGGAGGGGAGCGGGAGGGTGACATAAGTTCTGAGTGATGTTTGTAAGTCGGGTACGTTGAACACACATCACTGTTATCAAGAGGTTGGGATGGTTAGTAGAAAATTACGTCTTTTCTCAATGTTATAATCGAAGTGATGGTATAATTTTGTTTTCAAAAAGTTTCTGCTTGTGAGATTGTTTGATACCGTGAGATGCCCGTTCACATAACTTCGTGTCTCTGCATTTACAAATGTGGCCGGTAAAGTTTACATTATGGCTCAAATCCATTGCAAAATGTTATGAACCCTTATATGGTCACCTCTAGACACCGTACAGACATGTATGGTTTTCCGTACATGGAAAATATACAGCTTGTATTTTGAAAATTCTGAATGCAAGAGCAACTGCAAGTCGTGTTCCAAATTATTCGGGAGTTTAACAATTTTTTTAAAACCGAATTATATCCTTCCTCTGAGTATAGGATTGGAAGATGTCCTAATTCTCCACCAAATGATAAAAAGACGAATTAATTTTATGCATATTTCCCATGAAATATAATTTAATTTTTAAGGGCAAACAAAATCAAAGGGAAACATTCATGCTACTTAAGCAGTCATTTTTTACAGAATGCACTTGTAGAATGCGGCCGGTTAGAAGTTCGTTCGAAAGTCAGCGTCTTGACGTAACTGAATTATTACAGAAATCTGCTGCAAGGTGATTAATTTTCCAATCCTGTTTAAGTAATCTTTACGAAACGAAAACGCATTTCGGAATTTTGGTTCTACATTTCATGAGTTAGCACACCTACTGTATTAGGCGCGACTGCCTCTCCGCAAAAAAATTTATACAGGAAGTAATCGGAAATGTTTGTGATCTCGCCGTATATTAGGAGAACACGCCACGCCTTGTCTAGCAGTATGTTCTTTAAGCAAACTATCCTAGTGCCGAGGGTTATGCATCGAGTAACTGAGGAAGTATCCACTTGGGAACCAGTACTGAGTAAGCATGTAAGCTGCCATCGAACAGCAACGTCATCTGGAATCGGACTCCTGGTGCGATTACGCAGAAGCCAAAATCGTTGGCCACTGTGTGTGCAGACACCTTGTGCGTCTACTTCACCCAGTCGATTAACTATTGGCTGCGGCGGTCTGAGTGGACCGCGCAGAAGCCTCTTCAGTCGACCCAGATAATCGTAAAGATGAGAAGGAGTCCAAGGCCCCACGACGTTTGACATCATCAGCAATATGCATGATGTAATGGACCTTCTAGAGCATGTGCTCTTGCCCATTTCATGATGAAAATATACGGGTAAGAAGTTATAATGAATGCATAGTGTACCCTATGAATTACATATATGCGTCCGTTGAGGCAAGTAGTCATATGGCCGTAAACGGGAGAAGAAAGAACCGAAGATGACTGCCCGGTAGAGTGTCTTCAGGACAATTGTCCCAGCGTGTAACAAAAATCGTCAGTACTCTGTGTCCTTCTAGGTGTCGAAGTGGGTTAGACCTCTTCACCTTTGATAAAACTCTGCAGGTAGATATGTGTTTAAGCCTAGTAATCTGCTGTCAACTATTTCAACTTGCGTTGAACGCAGTGTGCACAAATTCGTCTGATAAGTCACCTTAGACTGGTAATTTCTAACCCACAAAACGAATAGCTTTCTCACCGTACCTGAATATATAATTTGTAGTGGATCTATAGGAAAGTCAACTTACAACGGACAAATGACGACGGTCCGACTACATGCTGATCTCTTTACTGGATCAGATGTGGTTATGTAGCCCCACGTGAAGTAAGCAAACCCCAGCCACCTGTAATACGTGACCGGTAGTAATAGAGGTGTTTACAGGTGGGGCCGGGAAACGCACAGGCGATGGGGTCAAGTAATTGTATGCAAAAAAGCAATTGGGAATGTGCTGTTGTATTTTGAGGGTTTAAAAAGTAGTTGCTTTTACTCTAACCCCTAGTCCTAACCCTGACACCAACAGTATTGTGTCCAGCAGGTGAGGCCTCATAACCACAACTTATCCTTTCCCTGTCTCATAAAGTCATTATACTTCCCCTCCTTCTCTCCTTCCTTAAGGTAAACGACTTTTCCCGCGTATTTTCCGACGGCTGTACAACTCTCACAGCCGTCATATGCATTAACATTATTAATCTGATTAACAAACGTTCGCGCGAGTCCATCACAAATACCAATTGCTATAGGGACTTGCACCCAGCCCGGGAGATTACTGAATAGCAATCCGGTCATTTGAAGGACAATTATTTCGTTTACTATGTCTTTACAGAATATTTCTACATTTGGCGACGGGCCGTTCCCACAGTGCATGGAAATGACAAATACGTTACTAACACACGACTTCACGATACGACCTAGAATGGGTCACAGTTCAGCCCTCGTCTTGCGGCAAAGAGGTAAACCATATATAGCTAGGTTCACAACTATCTCTTCAATGTCTACGACTACGAATTCACCATCTTCTAACCTGCGCAGCTTCTCCTGCAGTCTAACATTAACGTACTCCCCACTACCCGTGGGGGCTACTTGCAAGTTACACGATGCCCCCAAAAGTGTGCGAGGTTCTTCGGGCATTTGCGGACCTGCCATCCGAACTATGTCTAACACACTTTGCAAATTTACGTGCGCAATATTGCACAGCAAAACACAATTGTTCAATCTTGTCCTCATTCGTTTACTCAATGACATGTCATCATTATCTATGACACTAACCGCTCAAGCCATACAGTCTGGAGATGCAAAATCACCTAAAAAAACCGTTATTGAGCTAAGATTCCCACTATTAACACCCACTCATCTGCCAGCGGACGACTTCCAGTCTGAACAGTCCGCTCGATAAAGTTTGTTATTGCTAAAAAAACAGATCCAATTCTGCGTCTATTTATCTTGGCATTTCCTCGATCGTTTTCTTCATATGCCGCCTAGTAGTGTGTTTACATTCGTGCCTAAACATGTTAAACAAACATAAATGGGTTAGTGAATCAAATGAGGATAAAACGCAGAAGCAGGGAGCATACGCAGCGAGCAATACGTACGCAACCATGGCGACGGGCATTTGGGCACGGAATCGTTGATAGCGTAAACATGCCAGTCAATGATTGTGGGAAATCAATAAATTCGTTGTCCAATCAGATAACGGAATATCCCGGTCGCGAGATTTCTCCTATAAGAGTGTATCAGGTAGCTACTCAATGCTACTAAGGACACTTCGCTGCCTTTGCATATATCAACAATTTTATTTTACGAGCAAGGCCACTACTCCGCAAATCTCGTCTTCTGCTGGAATTTCGTCCTTATCTTGACCACCTACCGTTCCAAAACACCGTCTCAGATTATTTGGTTAGCGTTTTCGTGCAACGCCCGGGAAAGGGTAATTCAATTTACCTTTTCTTTGTTCCTGCTTGTCCTTTTGTTTTTTCCCAAATCCTTATCAGCTTTTCAAATCACAAATTAATTGAAACACACATCAAACCTTCAACGCTCGAGATATTTCGGCAGACCGCCGAGAAATTATTCCACGTTGGACGCTCGTCTGATTGAGAACATGGAGAGATTCTCTATCCGGTCCGAAGTTTTAAACTTGGGAGACTTCACTGCACCTCTCATTGACTGGGGTTCAGCTTACGCATCTGGTCCAAACCACACTTTTGATATACGTTTACTGAACATGGCTCTCAGGTTATTTCTCCTTCAACACGTCTAATTTCCGACCAGGGTGCACGAAGGTCAATAGTCACGCTATCTGGATCGGATCTTTACGAAGTCGCTGGACAGCATTGATGAGGTGCGGTGTCCACCTCCCCTATTGTTGTGAGTGTATCCCATGTTTTTTATGCCCGAACAACTTACATGAGTTAGAAGGAATTTTTGGCGCGCCGACTTTGCCCAAATGAAAGCTGAACTAATCATCACAACTTGGAAATCAGCTTTTTGGGTGACATAATTAAAGATTGGGACTGGTTTAGTTATTTATTGCGCATTCTCATCAAAGACTATTGTCTTATTTCACGGAAGAAATTGGACAGCAGACTATCGTGGCAAACACAAGCTTTAAAAAAAGCAAATAAAAAGCGGAGGTTATGGAGGAAATTCCTCTCGGATAAGGAGCTCTGTGTCGATAAATGCATACAAGGCACACAGAAACCTGTTTAAGAAACTAATCGTCGGGACGCGGCGTACTTTCGAGAAAGACCTACTGAATCGGGCCGCAGAAAATCCGAAGTTATTATATGTTTGTTTATGAAGGAGCACGCGAAACAGAGACCCAATCCCACTATTGAAAACTAGTGAAGGCCTAGTGCTCAGTGAAGACTGAAAAAAGACAGAGCAACTTTCGCAATTTTTAAGTCAATCTTTACGAAGGACAGCGCATTTATTCCACCCGACTGCGACAAAGTGGACGGGCCAACGACTGTAGTTGTCTCTTTTGTCGAAGCTATTGTTTACAAAGAACTGTTGATGCTGAGTGTGTCTAAACCGTCCGGGCTAGATGACATGCCGCCCACGTTATTGAAGTAGCTCGTCGGAGAACTATCTAAACCGCTGTCCATGCTCTTCCAAGCGTCGTTTGATTAAGCAACCGCAAATAACCGCCGAATCCATCCACTCAAACGACGTGTGACAGGCGTCAGGCTGGACACACGAAACGTCCTCATTTCCAACAGATTTATCGAGGCTTGGGATTCTGTGCCTAGAGATACTGCCATGTCCACATCCGCAGATCAGTATGCCACCACGCAACGTAATATCACCAGAGCGATATCGTTATAGAGTTCTGTCCTAACACTTTATTACCGTCAGTATTTTCCACTTCTCAACGACGTCTTATATCAGCGGCTGAGGATATGCCACGACAGCAACGTATTCTAAAACGGTTAACGACTTGACAGTGCGTAACAGAGGATTTTATGTTTCGGCTTGTCTTTTAGAATGCGCGTCGACTGCAGTCTGCCACTCTCTGGAATTCGCTGCGTTTAACGCCATTATTTCAAACGAATCTTTTGTGTGACACCTAAGTCGATGTCTGGGGATGCATTCCTCATCCGGGTTCATTGCTCCCGCGAAGTCGAAGTATTTCGTTCATGAAAGGGCGCCAACAATGCGGATTCTCCTTCATGCAAATGTGCTCTCACTGTCTAGTGCATTCATTTACATCAGGAATAAATGATCCCGTCACCTCGCTGCTTACTTATGGTGATGTATACGAGTGGAGACAAGTTTGCCAGTATACCCATAAATACTACCACATAGGATACGTTGGTCATGAAGATGCGAGCCCTGTTCTAAGGATGCATAAGTCTTGTCCGTAATGTTTTCTTTCGCTGACCGCCAGCAGCTTGGAATACATTATTCACGCAGCTGGGTTTGCCAGAAAACAGGATTTTACGTCTCTGCGACCAAGGTGTTGTAATCACCCCCATCTCTGACTTTCGTGTGATTTAGACACTGATTTTCGAAGTTAAGGAATGTCTGCTTCACAACGATTAATTGAAATGACATTTCGTTTCTTTCCGGTAAATTTCATCGCAGAAGCAGTAAAATTTGTCTCATTTAAGGAGGCGTCAGACAAAACTCAGTCTGTGAGAGATCGGTGTGTTACCTTCATGTTGTGTAGAGGTGGCGGGTCGCCTCATGTGCTAAGTGCAAGTGGTCGTTGTTCCGCGTGTTCCTTAATAGGCACATAAGTCTCACTTGTGACTGCCCGAAATTATGTATTCTTCAGCGGACACAACCTCGCAAGCCAGCAGTCCTTCTCATCTCTCTCACACTCCCCCACTTCAATATGCTTCAAGGATTAGATGACATACTTAGGTTAACATGGGTCGTTATGCATTTACTAGAGTTGTAATCCATAGCGGAGATCGGCTACAGTATGGGATACGTAAAAAGACTCGCTTAGGAACAGCATTGCCTACCCCTCGGGCAAGAAAACGCCAGGTAATCTGCCACATCCTTAGTAAGCAGATCGTGACTTGCAGATGTGCAGCTGGTAGTGGAGGGCAAACGTTGAATATCAACCCTCGTAACCATACCCGCAAACCCATCTCACAGGACGCGGGAGTGAGTTTGCCCACTTCGGCAGTCCGGAATGTTCGTCCTTCAGAATTTCCGTGTATTCAATGGATGTAAGGTGTATTTTTTACACATACACCCGCACAGGTGAGTGGCTTGCGAGGGAATAAGTCGAAAGTATATGTGCATTTCAGAATTAAGTCTGCTAATAATGGTGTCTCTACTATTTCCCCATCACTGAAAATTATGAGGGGAAGTGTTGTAGGACCGAGGATCAAGAGATGGCATTTTGATGGTGACGATGGCATTTGACACAAATCTCTACATTGTCTAAGCCTTTCAAGACCATTTTTGATTGATCTGTGTATGCTTGTCATAAGCCTATACAAGCTTGAGGTCGTCTTCACATAAACACTTTTAGCTGAGATTCCTGTAGACGATAAGTCGCTGGTTTCGAATTCGAAGACATTTGGACAATATTACGTAAAGGGATTTTTCTAAGAATCAGACATACTTTTTGGTTTTTTGCTTGTTTTGAATAAATTAACTTAAATGCAGGATTAGACGTTCAGAATTGTCGATTGCAATTTCCCTATTCAGTTTTGCTAGACTGTGTACCTCGCGCATTTGCTATATCCCTACCGGCTTTAGCCTTTTCATCATAATCATCTCGGTTCATCACGACAGTTGATTGTCTTCTGTCAGTGGGCAGAATTGCATTTTTGTCATCCCGCCCTCAATTCTCCCACCGCTTTTGACTCACTTTGTCAAATATATTGGGTTAGTATGCGTGTCTGAAGCAAGAAGGTAACACGTTGCCGAACGGAATGCTTCTTGTCCTCGGCTGTTTAACTCTCCACAAGCATAGCTTCCAGGGCAGCACGAGTTCGAAAGCACAAAACAATTAACAAAGTGTCCCGAAACTCAACCAGCATTCGTCTTAATATTTTTTTATTTATGGGTATGCTTACCTCGGAATAACCTTGCAATCGGCACAAGATCATCAGATACTCAGCATGCATTCAACGAGAAACTGCGTCTTTATCTGAATACTATCTCGATAAAACTGATATTTGCCTCAGACTTTTCGGGAAAATTTCTCAAATACATCGAAAAAATACCACCGGAAATTTAGTGTCGACGCCAAATAGCCATATCCGCCCACATTTCTCTCCCTCTCTGTGTGTTTCTTCATCCTCGGTTGTTTCGATACCATAGCCCAGGCATCGTGTCCTCCAGACTCTATATTTACTTGGTATTAACGTGACCAAAAGAGTGCCAAATAAAACAATTTACTTATTTGTTTAAATTTCTGAGCTAAAATAGTACCTCGAGCCTTCACTTAACCGTACCCGTAAATTCAAAACTTAGCTTATTTGTGACGATAATTCGTAACCTACTACGAGTCAATCTCATAAATAGTGTAGGCTGAAATGGAATTCAATCACAACACACTTACATACTACTAGTGCCATTCTCAATTCCAATCCAGACGTAAACGAAAATCTACAATTACCACCAAAACACAATTATATTACCAAAAGTCCACCTGATCCTAGACCCATACGTAGCTCCACGCCTAACTGTGCTTATAAACCTACAATTGCACTTCGCCTTAAAGTCCACGTCTAGGACTGCAATCAACAACCGCACACACTGTAGCCAAAACCCCTACCCGACTGCACGACTTGATAATGCCTCATCGCAAATACGCATCCAGTGCGAGGCGTCTGAACACGATCAAAGCACAGGGCCGTACCGTCTGCTCTTCGGTTCACTGCGCTCAACCGCCTGATGGACGAGGCAGGAGCACTGATCCAGATCTACTGACGCCGCCGTCATTTGCCTGTGCTCCACCGCTTGCAGAGTGTGCACGCTGTTAGCCGAGGTGTAGAAGAGTGGAGGCCTCTGAGCACAGGCCGCGTGACCATCTTCGGGTCCGCCCCTCCAGCTGCATAATGTGACCGTATTCACGCCATGTACGGTGTCTGCTCACACGTTGGTAACATTGAACTCATCAACCAGCTTGGGGCATCAGTTTGCGCACTACTGGGAGATCTAACGCCATCGCACCATACTGCACCAGTGTTTTAGCCTCACGTGCATCGTGCATGCTGCGGGTATAGCGCTGGGTTAAGCTGACACACTTAGGAGCACCGAAAAGACGAGTCCTTTCAAATATGACCCCCCGTCACAGTTGTATAGAGTACAGTTGTATAGAGTAAAAAATTTGAGCACACCAAAAGAGACAGACATAGAAAGCAATAGAAAGTTTTATTTAGGTGTTCAAGAAAACCCACACCATACTGACTTTGAGAAAAGGGATGACAGGAAGTTAAATTCTACCAACCATATCCCAAATGGGAGTTAAGAAGATGGGATTCCATAACCAGGGGCAATTCATGCCAAAATAAGTGCGTCCATACACGTTAGTTGTCTGTCCCGTACGGAGCATCTGCCAAGTAAAATGAATGAAGGTCATGAATACAGCACGTGTTAACACAGATGTACACGGAAACAACTGCTTTGATTAGCATAAGCAGATGGTGCTGATCACTGCTGACGATCTACGGCGTTATTTGTGCTGACTCACGCAAGAGGGTCGAACTAGCTTCAGTAGAATTCCCGTCTTTCCAGTCTGCGTCATGGTTTGCTTTTAACGCAACACTTTATAGCCCTGTGCACAGGTTAGTTAGTCTGCTCCTCATATGCAGTATCGACGTGGGAAAAGCTGTAAAACAGCAACCAAATACGCTTTGGAAATCAAAGACCTCATCGCCAGCAGTGCGTTACTTTTGGTTTTACTTGCAAACGGATTCATATCAATCCAAATCACATTACACGCGGCAGCACACAGACTACCTCAATCATTCAGATCGGTCACTAACCGCAATATAATAGTCAAATCTGCATATTCTTCGTCCTGCATGTTAACATAACGACAGAGCACTATCATTTATATCTCTATCCCACTACATGCATGCAGTATATTAATGCAGTACTTATGAAATTACGCCCTGCTGATTCCTAAGCGGCACTCAGTGTTCACAAACTCCATTCGGCTTATCAGCACATGCCGAGTGGTCAATAGTGAATTGCCATTTAGCAAGCACAAGTATGAATTTGCAATGTTCACCAGTCAAACAAAACACGCGAAAGCGCAGTGCAGACAGAGAGTGCGTATTGTCATTGAAATCATTCTATTTGCATTAAGAAGCAGAAACCGATGCCAAATCCGAACAATTCGGAATTTCAAAGCCCCTGTAAATGCGCACTTCGAGTTTTAGTTAAAAGTATAATTGCCCGACAGTGTGGGCTAGACAGCGACAGGAATTTGTTCACGTGCAGGGAAATCAAACGGATGCAGTGTGCATCTTTATACGACTGCTGTACCTAACTAGATGCATTGAAGTCATTGTGGCGTACAGGCACAATGTCTTGGAGCCTTCTTCATGCCGCCTTGCGGTAACTATGAATGTCTCACTGCCGGTTATCAATACATTGGTTACTTGATTCTGCAGGAATGTTTACCAGCCCAACTGAACAGTGCTCTACTGCACGACATAAACTCCCTTGTTTTGAAATGTACTTCAACCACCATGTGAATGTCAACAAGGCGAGAGAAATTGACCTGTGGGGTTCAGCAGCAATGTGAAATTGCAAGTTGAACCAAAGCATGTGCGTCGATTTGCAGTTCCAAAAGAGTGTTAAACTGCGCGTGCGCACGCCCGCCACGGAACCTCATGTCCGATGAGTCGGAATTCCATCCGGAAACTGCGAGTCGTCCGATATGTGCATTATTTCGCATTTGCATATATTACTGCATTTCCCACTGCATGCAATCTGGCGTTTAATTTGGTAACCCTGAGAGTTTTGGAGCAAAGAATGCATCCCGATTATGGTCTTAACATACAACACTACTTAAAGTGTGAACATAAGATTTTGCTTCGTTTTTACTGACACGCATGCGTAGGTGGGTGTGTGAAATCAGCCACTACGACTTACTAGTCCAGTCGATAATAAACGTTTGACTGTACTGCAGTGCAGGATCCAGTGAGCAGGAGACAAACGTCAATCGTTCATCTGCCTTTCTCTTGACTCCGACTCGAACTTTGAAGGTCGAACGTTCTATCCCTCGACGTCCTGCAAAAGGCATAGAAAGCAAAGATACCACATCAGGAAGTCATTTTTATAACTACAAAGCAGAGCGAACGCAAAAAAGTGTAATGGAGTGCAATTCGCCACTTTAAGTTGTAATCGAAAGGAACGACTGGTAACGCATAAAACTAGCCCCCCCCCCGCCTTCTGGTAGTGCAACTGCAGCAGTTCGCTCCTCCGCTGCCTCCCTGTCCGCCTCACACTCCCTGTCGATCCGCTGCAGGGACGCGCGATGTTCGCTATTGGCCTCGCGATTGCTGGAAGCTACTCAACACTGTCCCTCCTCTGATTGGCTGGCGGACCTTGAGACAACGAAATGCGCACACGTGCTCTCGGGTCTGAGCAGCTGAACGGCGGACACAGACACAACTTGCCTGGAATGCGCGGGCTTCTGTGTTCGCATTTCCTCCTCGGCTGTCAAAGCTGTCCCACCCAGTCTGCCTCCCATGACTTCTGATTTGGGAACCTTTGTCTTCTCAACTGTATTATCTCCACACAACACGCTGATTTGATCATATTAGCGCAAAGACGTAAGAGGATTTGTTACCAGCGGACCGGTACTCACGATGACATTTAACCACTCATCTCGACATATCACATAAAAGACATTCCTATGTTCCTGATTTGTGTCAATATTGTTTTTTTAATGCTGGCACTCCTGAGCGTCCTCCCCCCTAGGCTCGGCACTATTCTTGAGAGCATTTACATCAGCAGCAGACAGGAGTTGAAATAAAAGATCTTATCAGACACATCTTACGGCATTGTCGGGCTGTTATTGGAGGCACGAAAAATCGTTCTTCGTCAATGAAGCAGTATAACTACAACAAAACAGGGTGTTAGGTGGATTCGGGAAAAAACAGGCCTTTGAACAGTTTGTAAGTGCTTACCCTCAATCTGTGGCATCTTGTAAGTGTAATGTCCCACGTGACATGTACCTGATTTTCAGTTGGACAAATATCCAGGCTTGGCAACCCCGTTAAGTTAAAGGCGGCTTTTAAGAAAACATGTCACCCAAATAACTCAGTCAGGGTAAAAAAGCAAGTGACAGTACAATTTAAATGCGTTCATCGGAGGATAAGAGAGGTTAGGATTGCAAGTAAATAGACTTTTTTTCTAAAAGCGCATTCAGGAGGCGTGCTGAAAGACTGAATTTAAAACTATCTAGTTTTCGCCCGCAAAACAGTTGTTAAGAGGAATGCCATTGTGTGTGTACGTTGTGCGAAGAAAGATGGCTGGGAGTGTTAGCGCTTTTATGTTACGATGAATGCTTCAGTTGAGCTAGACTAAAGCGTGTGATTACTTATATCTTTTATGACAAGTTAGATAACGTCAAACGATTTCCATTCTTACCTCCTTGTGGTGTGAATATCGGCGTATTGATGCGATGAATAGTAATTGGAATGGAATCACGTAGGTTGATGTAGTTTATATTACCACATTCCTCAAATCTGAATCTTGTAATGTTCAGTCCATCGCCTGAAAAATACGACCTTCTTGAAATGGAGCATGGGAGAATTTCGAAAGTTAAATGTCAGTAATGCATGTTGTTCGTTCATATTATGTAGATTTAGCTTCCTATGCATATTCGTACTTACGTGTAGAGCCTATGCAGCCGAAAGATCCCATGCTGGAGTTACAGAAGTCAGTTCCCGAGGCAAGTTTCGAGAATGGTTTATCGTTCAAAAAGCCGGTCTAAACAGATGAAGACGTACTTGAGAAAGAGAGAGAGAGTAGATTTTCCTCTCACGAAATTCATATCTCAACTCGACCTTTTTTATCAGTATGTGTAAGTGTCTGCTAAGTAATATTGCTTAACTGCGTACACTTCACTGACTGCAAAGACAATTGATGGATTTAAGCAAACCGGGATTCCATTTGTCAGGTCATTGAAGCAACTAGTCCAGTATGTGAACAATGCTCTCGTAACTGTCCTTAATGTTGATTTCTGCCTGCGACGAGACTGCGAGATATTGCCATATTAATTTGCGAATGCGTGAGCCGTCCAAATTAGGATGCATGCGGCCCAATCATTAGTCAAGTCATAGCATACAACCTCTTATTTAGGTGGTTTTTAAAACTTTCATTTTATGTCATCCGAAGTAGGTTACATACGGCCCAATCACTGGTTACTTACATTATTCCAATGCTACCGAGCTTGCACATTTAAATTTCGATCTAAATAACAATAACGGGAGACATTTTAGTCGTTTTGTCGAACGCATGGCTGCACCACTATGACGTGCCACAAGCAGAAAACTGCTCAACACATTTTAGAAATTAGCCTAAATCCTGAAGAATAAGAAATAGGATTCGTACCCGATAACCGCGCCATATTGCGGTCGTCATGTTAAGACTTCCCTTAAGGCTGGTGCTCAGACGTCGGATATTCCAATGACAAATTGTGCGAAGACTAAAAAAGAAAATGAACAGATCGGAACAAACATAAACAAATACTTAGAATTATATTCGTTAATGGTTGTATTGTGTGTCCATTGTCTCCCGCAGCGTTTCGAACTGCGCAAGATTTCTGTTTGGTATTTGCTCGAAAGGTCTTTGCGGATTTTCACGAACCAAAATAACTACAAATGCATTTTAGTCTTCAGAGAAAATAAACACATCAGGCGAAGGCTATTCAACAACATTCCATCTGCGGTCAGGTTGGGTATATGAATAACCTTACCTGCGTGCAAGAATCGAGAGTGAAGTAACCAAAAACGTCCTCCTGTCAAAAATGCTGGATGCTTATTTTGAATTACGGGATGTATAAACCATTTCTAAAATTGGTATGTACAGGTTTGCGCATAATGATATATACGGTAGAGTAGATGTCGGAAGAAAACAGTCTGTGCGGTCATATGGGTGTCCTAATAGGCGGAGAAAAGCAATCTAACATGCTCTGGATCCTTTGATCATGATTTTGCTCGACCTCCAATATTAGAGAGCGTCCTATGTCCAAAGCTATACAAAGGCCTTGTTGTAATTAAACCAAACAATGCCAATCTTAATAACTAGAATATGATGGTCTGACGATGTTGTGCAGGTTGAATGTATCAAGTTTGTAGTGAAAAGCACAGTGTTATGTTATTTGTTAAACCTCACAAATGCCTTACCTTTCGACCATCAAGGCCAACTGGACAAATATGAAGCACAAGCTGAAGATTCTGGGAGAACACAGTAGCATGGTTGAAGGTGGATCACAAACGCCAAGCACGAACGCCAAGCCGTTACGTATTTATACTTTCTTTTAGGGCGCACGACCAATAGACACATTTGTTTCTTGTAGTCTGCCGCAGAACTAAGCAAGCATAGCCGCATTTATAAATATCCAAAAGAACTCCTACTTAAGCAGCTCTCAGCATTTGTAAAATAAGGGCAAAAGTGCACGAGTATTTCTCATCCATAATGCCTACATTCTGCATGAATTTCTGCTTCTCTCAGGAATGACAGTCGGCATTTATCCCTGTGTTCATTATTGGCCATAATTGAAATATCCGCCTAAAGATGAAATCCACTCTATCAAATCCCATGCTTTACATGCGCCCATCAGAAAAGTCGTTTCCATAGTGAGATTAGACGAATCGTCCTCCATACGGCCAGTCATTTCACTATTTAGTCGACAGAGTCGACAGCTAAAGTCTAGTGTTGTAATAAAGTTTTTCGTGTCCCGTAACCCACCTGCGAGGGATTTTATTCATCATCGCGTACCCCAGTTTTTAGCTTGCACATTCTGCTAATGGCCCAGGTCGATGAGAGTTCGGAAACGAAAGTGAGGTTATGGTGAACACTGGGCGAAAATTCCAATGGTGCGAGGGATTTCCACTTACATTTACCTCTACAGTACATGCAGTAATAGGCGCTCTATGCAACAAGTAGTCTCAGCATACCCTAATAACAGAAGCAGTGTAGAAGCGTTTAGAGTTCCTTCGTAATTTCTCTATTGTTGCTTGATATAATTACCGGTGTTTGGATTCGTCAATTTCAATTCAGCCCCTCCCCACGTTTTTTTCAGGAGAGACAGATTGCGAACGTAATCTCGAGGACGCCATGATATCGACGAGAATATGAAAAATACGGGGGGGGGCCACGAGGATGAGCCAAAATCCTTGAAGGGGCTTCCTGTAGGGCGGAAATATTAACTCACTCACCTGGACTTACATCTAACATATTCTTTGGCAGTGGTCGGGGTAGGTGCTGATTTCTGTAAGAAACTACCAAATAATTTTTAGTCCAAATCCTGGTACGGCCACCATCCTGAGGGCGTTTGTAGGTAACACGTGTAAATACCTCAGGCGTAGTGCGTTCGACACTTCTTTGACCACGGATGCCAGTTTTTTGTATCTGTATCCACTAGTGAATGGGCGTTTCAGATTCACAATGTTAACAGTGCATTTGCAAACGGCGACTAAGTTCTTGAATCTATATTTTTCCAACAGACTCTCAAAAAATTAAATCCAAGGAGTACGAACAATAGACCGGTGAAGTTCTTTAGAAAATTGGACAGCGCAGCCTCAAAACCACTTACGTATATCTATCACTTGATATTTAAATTGGGAGGCGACGATGCGAGCAGAAGGCAGAAAATATCTGCTCGACAAATAATAATGTTGCTCAGACCACTGTGGATCAGTATTGTCTCGTTAGTCTAACCGGCATCTGTTGTAAAGTAGCGGAAACAACGCCAAAGAAGGCGATCAAGATTAGGGTTATGGGTCACTATGCGTGTTGATTTAAATCTTCGAGGAAGGGCTTTGGAGGCTTATTTATAATTTAAGGACAACATTTGTATTTAGCTGTGATGTTAGGTTTATGTTGCTGGCTCGGTGTTGCAGTGAGTTTTGGGCTTATGCCTAGTATTATATCCCTGGCTATGTACACTGCCAGGCGTACGTTTTGAGTTTTCATATATGTGTTAGCATCCGATGCATTTTTGACGCGCGGAATAATGTTAGAGTTACATACGTGATTATTGTAAACTTTAGTAATAGTAATACTAGTATTAGTAGTATTAGTAGTGACAGCCGTAGCAGTAGTAGGCATAAGGTTGGGGTTAACTTCCTTAAATAGGCATTGGCATACAATCTATATACATGATGATTAGCGATAGATTTCCGGTAAGTTTCAGAGTTTCGGGCATGTTTGCGTTAAATAGGCGTTTTTAACTTAGAACAGATGAAATCTTAGTTTTTATGCGGTCTTTTTTCTGCATACATGTAATCTAAAAAGGGAGCATGCAAAAAGGTTATGTTTTCAGCAAAATACCAGTATTGATGAAGCGACTCCGCATGACATTAAAAATCGTAGAACGCAGTCTAAATGAGCTTTCGAGAATGGCCGCAATATAGTCGGAACGTAACGATCTTAAGGTTGCGGTAGAATTATACCAACAGCTCTAGCAACGCCGAAAAACGGCCTTCTGGAGGTATTTTATTTTAAATGTCTAAATTACCAGATAATACAGATACTGTCAGTGTGGACAATCGATTAGAAACAATGAAAATCATTACGTATTCAGCCATAATTCATGGCCAAGCAGACACTCAACGTACTTCAGAATTAATTAAAGGTTCACATCACTTTTACGACAAATGTGCTCTCTATAAATAAAATGGTATGTTTGTGATTACGCCCGGCAGTTTAATTTAGATTTATTAGTCACTTACCCGCCTGACAAAATGTGTCCTCATGAAACCCTGTATTCCGATGATGGCCCTATTGATAAAATCTAGCACAATCCTGTTGACCTTAGTTTAGCTGCAACTCAATCAATTTGAGTGCGCTGAAGATACAACGCAGCCTCCGGTAAGCGTTTTAGGGTCTACATACAGAACGCAGGTTGTTAGCTGCAAAGTCCACCGACAGTTACGTGTAGTCCTTCATTTCACCATTGCCTCACAGCCATTTCCGATCGTTTCAAAATGTTCTACGTTTTTTAAAATATTGACGATTCTAAACAGCGTAACACAGCCTGTAGTATTTCTTGTATATTTATAATTTTCTGACAGTTGGTATTTATATACAAAGATATTGACCCGATGAATTGGTGTGGTTTGGGAGTGATTAGCATTCACTCGTAACTCTCATCAGTTAGGTAAACTACTGTAATAGAAACCATGTTTGAGAAGGCAATAACGAAGTTCCTAAAGGAGGGCTCCTTTTTTCCAGGATTCCAGCGTGGCTTGAGACAGAGCCGTTCTTGCCTTACGAGTTTGTCACTCATGGTTCTGAAATTGTTGTATATTGTCCAGGCCAGGTTTCCTTTCGAAAGACGCTTATTTAAACGCTGCTCTCAGTTCTTCTGCTTAGAAGGACGTCAAAGAAAGCCAGAAATAAGCTTCTTACATGCATGACAGAGGGAGATCGCAAATCGTATGTGTTGGTCGCTTGAACTTAACTACTACTCCTGTTTAACGCAGTGTCTCAAGTGCTCGGTCCTTCGGCCATCACCCCTTCCAGTCTATATCAGCAACTTAAAAAACAACCTAGACTGCATCGACGTCATGTTTGCCGACGACTTCAAACTTTGCAGAGTCATCAGAAAGGACGAAGTTATGTACTCACTTTAGAGGGTCCTAACCGAATTAAGAGCTAGCTTGCCCGTTGGCTCCTAAAGTTTATCGTTGCTAAGTGCGTAAACCTGGGTCCCCTAATCAGAAGGATCAATGAGGACGAGGATTCTTTACGATACCTCCTTGATGGATTACCTATTTGAAATGCTAAATAAGAGAAGGGCATGGAAGTTATAACGACCGTCTTGTTGTAACCATCATCACGTAGTTTAAAGGAGTCTGAACATGTGCAAAGGAGTCTTTTCGTAATAATACGAAAATTCGTGCAAACAGCTTTGTATTTGATCGGAAAACCCCATGGAACATTTGTTCCTTCTCGCGTGGCCTATGTCGTCCTGGCCTGGCGTTGGTGGGTCAACAAGGATTACAAAATTATTAAACGAATGCCGGCGAGTGTTACGTAGATGGTCAAGAATCTTGTCCATATTGAGTACGAAGACCGACTTGCTACACATTATTTGTTTCCTTTTAAAAAACGCATGGCGGATGTACAGGATCAAGAAAGATATTAACGATAAGGCGTAAATGAAAGGGTTATATTTCGGTAGGGAAACGCCTGCAGGCCTAGCATCAGTAGATTTTCGGCAAAAGGAGAGGACTCTGTCTACCGTCAGTGTAGACGGTGTCTAGAAAACCTCCTCACGAGGTCCCTTCAGGCTGTTTATTGTCCTCTTATCCATTGCTCATAAAATGCTTACCAGTGGAGTACTCAGCGAGAGTCTACAGACTGCCTGGGCCATAAATAAGGACGAAGAACCGTGACAGATGTCATACTTGAAAGGACTCGTATTTTCAGTGCTCCTAAGTTTGTCAGCTTAAATCAGTGCTTAACCCACAGCATGCACGATGCGCGTGAGACGAAAACACCGGTGCCGGATGATGCGATGGCGTCAGATCTCCCAGTAGTGCGCAAACTGCTGCTGCCCCAAGCTGGTTTATGAGTTCAGTGTTACCAAGCTGTGAGCAGACACCGTTCAGGGCGGGGACACGGTCAAATCATGCAGCTTGCAGGGCTGACCCGAAGACGGTCTCTCGACGATGTGCTCACAGGCCTCCACTCTTCTACACCTCGGCTAACAGCGTGCACATCCAGCACGCGGTGGGGCACAGGCAAATTGTGGCAGCGGCGGCGGCGGCGGCTTCAGTAGTTCTGGTCCATTGCTCCTGTCTCGTCTATCAGGCGGTTGATCGCAGTGAACCGAAGAGAAGACGCTACGACCCTGTGCTTTGAGCGTGTTCAGACGTCTCGCACTGGATGCGTATTTGCGATGAGACATTATCAAGTTGGGTAGGGGTTTGGGCTGCAGTGTGTGGGGTTGTAGATTGCAGTCCTGCACGTGGACTTTGAGACGAAGTGCAATTGTAGGTTTGTAATCACGCTTTGCATTGGGCTATGTATGGGTCTGGGATCAGGTTAACCATTGGTAATAGCCTTCTGGTGTTTTGGTTTAAGTTTTGGTTTTGGTTTACCGGTAGGTTTTGGATTGGTGATGTGTTAGTAGCATTTATTGTGTTCGGTTCCTGCTCACGATAGGGATGCGAGTATGACTGGTAGAAGGTTTAAGTTATCGTCTGGAATGGGTTTAGTGTATAATTTACGGCAAGGGTTAAGGTT